CCACTCACGGAGAAGGGGCTACGAGGCCTTGGTCCACTAACTTCACCTCACCATTTGGTCGCCCGGTCATCCCCTTCCTCTATCACTTGGGTTGCAAGATCGAGGCCAAATGCCATGAATGCCCCAGTTCTTTCTGAAGGTCGTTACGACCAGCATCATCACTATACCTCCCCTCATCCCTGTTCTCACCTCCAGATTGTGAGCAGTGTCAGAACTTCTTCATCGACAGCTGTGCTGCCCACGGGCCCCCAGCCTTTGTCAAGGACTGTGCAGTGCCAAAGGGGCACGCCGAGCGCTCAGCGCTCACCCTGCCCCCTGGGTTAAGCATCAGGCTGTCGGGCATCCCTGACGCTGGGCTTGGAGTGTGGAACGAGGCATCCGATCTGCCGCTGGGCCTGCACTTTGGCCCCTATGAGGGCCAGATCACAGACGATGAAGAGGCCGCCAACAGTGGATATGCCTGGCTGGTGAGAAGCACCCGTTTCCCTGTTGTCTGGCCTCTAATTGCTTGTATGTGGTGGGGGGTACTTCATGTCTACATGCGAGGATGCATATGGTGATAACACGGTCGGCAATGACACAGTCAACCCTGTGTCCTGAGTGTACTGGGCGTGAACACAGGATTTCCATCTAAAGGTCAGAGGAGAGGTGGGACTACAGTGCCCAGACACACAGGACCTCTATCTAAAGGTCAGAGGAGAGGTGGGAACACAGGGTACAGACACACAGGACCTCTATCTAAAGGTCAGAGGAGAGGTGGGAACACAGTGTACAGACACACAGGACCTCTATCTAAAGGTCAGAGGGGAGGTGGGAACACAGTGTAGAGACACACAGGACCTTCATCTAAAGGTCAGAGGAGAGGTGGGAACACAGTGTACAGTCACACAGGACCTCTATCTAAAGGTCAGAGGGGAGGTGGGAACACAGTGTACAGACACACAGGACCTCTATCTAAAGGTCAGAGGAGAGGTGGGAACACAGTGTACAGACACACAGGACCTCTATCTAAAGGTCAGAGGAAAGGTGGGACCACAGTGTACAGGCACACAGGACCTCTATCTAAAGGTCAGAGGAGAGGTGGGAACACAGTGTACAGACACACAGGACCTCTATCTAAAGGTCAGAGGGGAGGTGGGAACACAGTGTACAGACACACAGGACCTCTATCTAAAGGTCAGAGGAGAGTTGGAAACACAGTGGACAGACACACAGGACCTCTATCTAAAGGTCAGAGGAAAGGTGGGACCACAGTGTACAGGCACACAGGACCTCTATCTAAAGGTCAGAGGAGAGGTGGGAACACAGTGTCCAGACGCACAGAAGTGACTCCTCCCTTGTGGAGCCCTTGCCTTCAATGAACCAAGAGACTCAGACTTGGAATGATGAGTAAGGAGCTTACCGTGTGGTCCGACTGGCAGTTGAATCCATGCAGGCTGAAAAGCACCAATGACTGCAGAGGGAAATAGCTCTTCTATTGCTTTCTACCAAAAAAAAGAAAAGAAAGAGGAAAGCCTGTAACTCTTTCTCTGACACTCAGATCACCAAAGGGAGGAACTGCTACGAGTATGTGGATGGAAAGGACACGTCTTCGGCCAACTGGATGAGGTGAGTGCAGTGAGCCTGCACTGTGTAGACATTGATACTCCCTCAATCCCACGCCCCTTTCCTGCTCAACCCGGCTCCCTCAACAGCTTTCACATCTTCTTTCCTCTTTTCCCTCCATATCATGCTCTTTCATTTCAAAAGACACTAGAAAGAAGTAAATAGAAATATGGCATGTGCCGTCAAGATACAAGTCTATATGCTGAACAAAACTGGTGGACTTGAAATCAACTTGAGGAGTCTAGATTCACCAGGGACACTTTAACTCACTTAATGGACACTTACCACGCACTTTATGTTTCAGTTCAGACCGTGAACTTCGTTACTGAAGCAGATCACAGAACCCATGTCCTTTTGGAGAACATACTGCAAACAGACATTAGCCAATTGATTTTAGGAACAGTAACCTTATTTTTTCTCTCTTTGAGTAACTACACAGTGCCAGGATAACCTAACACAGGAGACCTTGACTCTATGTGGCAACAACCTCCTCAGGCTCAGTTCCAGTGAGAAGTGGGCCCTGAGGCCTCGGAAGGAATGGGGGGCAGGATGGCCCTGAGCAGGGCCGTTCTCTGAGGGCCTCTCCTTTCATCAGGGCAGGCAGACAGGAACAAACTATTACTATTTCGTGTCTCAAGCTATATCAGAGCTCTGTCCAAGTTTCTGTGGGAGGGGGTGGGCAAGCGAATAGGACCCTGGATACACGTGGGGAGATGGGAGAAAGCCTCAGGAGAGAAGGCAGGCTGGGATGAGAGCTGAGGGCTGTGTGTTAGCCAAGGAGCACCAAGTCCTGTGGATGAAAGAGAACTTAATTCAGAGTTTAGAGGAGCTGGAGGTCACCAGCCTCATGGACAGTCCAGGTGGAGACGAGTCTGGATCTGGGCTCTGGAAAATGGCTAATTAGGTAAGGAGAGAAAGGCATGGGAATTCACATGGCCTGGCCGAAGGTGTGAACAGAAGGTCCACATGAGGGGCGGCCTCAGAGGCGGAAGGCAAGGAGCTGGGCGTGGTCGGAGAGTGGAGGGCACTCATCACCTGAGGTTTCTTTCCCTTTCCCGGCCTCAACCCCAGGTATGTGAACTGTGCCCGGGACGATGAGGAGCAGAACCTGGTGGCCTTCCAGTATCACGGGCAGATCTTCTACCGAACCTGCCAGGTGGTCAGGCCGGGCTGTGAGCTGCTGGTCTGGTACGGGGACGAGTATGGCCAGAACCTTGGCATCAAGCGGAACAGCAGGGGGAAGAGCAAGCTTGCGGCCGGGAGAGGTGAGTGTCACCCCTCTTCCAGCACCCCACCCCATCCTGGGAGCCTCCATGGTCCGATTTCGAAGCAGAGGACAATCCAGTCCAAAGTCAGTTGAGTTGCAATTAAAATGCCTCAGAATTTGATTCTTTTCATATGATTGTTAGGAAAAATTTCTATATTAAAAATCCTAGTTCTAATTTTTAATATTTCATGCAAAAAAAAAATGTAACATCACCTTCTGCTGAAAGGCTTAGGAGCAAAATGCAAGTTTTCTGTCACCTACCAGCTCTCTCCCATTAACCTGTTTCTTCCTCATTTCCTCCCATTTCTAAGCGACACATGTACAGTGATGTGCATTCAGTTACTGTTCCAGTTTGTTGTCATGTGAGTTCATGCTCTGTGCCAGACGGGGCTCCACACACCAAAACAAACAGGACAACTGCCCTGGGGCAGCAGGGGCTTCATACCAGACAGGGGCTGGTGCTCTGAGGAAAACCAGCGAGGGAACGTGCTTCGGGTCAGCGTGAGCAGAGGGTGGGGTGTGGTGCAGGATGGTGTGGCAGGGTCTGTGCAGAGATAACACCTGCGGGGAAGGATTCCAGGCAGTGGAGCAGCCAGTGCCTCAGCCCCAGGGCTGGGAAGAGAGGCCATGCCAGGGGTCGCGGGAGGAAGCACAGAGGGAGAGGAAGGAGGCTAGATGGGACACGGAAGCCTCAGGGCCTGTGTCCACTTGCAGGCCCCAGGGGTCTTCTTGGGTGACACAGAACAACTGTGAGGCTTTCAGCTGCAAGCAGCATGTTCTCTGTGCTAAGACGATGCTTTGGTTCATTTTGGGGAAGAGACAGCAGCGGGGAGTCCCCTCAGAAGTCAGTTCATTGCCAGACATGAGAAGAGAGTGGGCTGGCTAAAGATGCTTGGGAGTGAGGGTGTGAAGAGTCTAGCTGGAGGTGTATTTTTAAACAGGACTTCATACTGCATGTTAAATGGACTAAGACTGAATGAAATAAATGAGGTATGAGTACTGGTGAGGCTTGAGAAAGGATATGCCTTTATTTTATGATATATGGGAAACAGAGAGAGGAGAAATTTGTGAACTAGTTTGGGCAGCAGGAGCCAGAGACCTGTAGTCAGTGGACCTGGGCCACTCGGTCTCATCCAGTCTCAAACCCACTTCCTGGAGAGATTGGCACAAAGGCTGCTCTTTGAACAAGGAGCCATAAATTCAGCTTTACTCACACCTGCTCTAACCACCCCCTGTGCTCCCTCCCATATGCAGAGAGCTCCAGCCCAGGCGCCCCTAACTTAATAGACCCTTTCCCCTCACAGTGAGCCTCTCAGAGATTCCACCTAAGTCAACAAGTCTTATCTCTCAGTAGGGTAAATACCTGTGGCCACTGTGACGTGACTTTTCAGATACTTACACGCAGGGAAAGTCCCTGCAGATCCACCTCTATCAGGAGAGATGCTGGCTCTGATGCTGCTGGAAGGTCCCTATCTGGGTGATATGTAGAAAAGGCCCGTGACAAAAGCTTCCTGGATTTCTGTAGATGTAGAGAATAAGAGTGGAATGGAAAAGTGGACCATAAAGGCGCACTCGATGGGAGACAAATCGTGCAGTGTCAACACTTAGATCATTAGTGGGGCAGGCCCGACCATGGCAAACCAGCTACCTGACGAAAGCTTCCTCTTTCAGCAGAACCGAAGGTCAAGATCCACCCATGTGCCTCCTGCTCTCTGGCCTTCTCCAGTCAGAAATTTCTCAGCCAACACATCCAACGCAGTCACCCCTCTCAGACCCTCCTGAGACCATCTGAAAGAGACCTCCTCCAACCAGAGGATCCCTGCCCAGGCAATCAAAATCAGCGATATTCAGATCCACAGAGCCTGAGCGACAAACCTGAGGGTCAGGAGGCCAAGGACAGGCCCCAACAATTGCTGAAAAGCATAAGGCTGAAGAGGATTTCAAGGGCCTCTTCCTACTCACGTGAAGGACAAATGGGAGGTTCGGAAGTGCATGAGAGACTGACAGAAGAGCCCAGCACAAGCCAGAAACTGAATCCAGAGGACACAAGCACATTACTCATGGGGGCAGGGGTCTCAGGGATTATGAGAGTCATATACGGCGAGTGTGGGCAAGGCTCCAAGGACAGGTCAAGTCTCACCACACACGAGAGGACACACACAGGGGAGAAGCCCTATGTTTGTGGGGAGTGTGGGCGAAGCTTCCATTGGAAGTCCCATCTCATCACACACCAGAGGACACACACAGGGGAGAAGCCCTATGTTTGCGGGGAGTGTGGGCGAAGCTTCAGTCAGAAGTCAGATTTCATCAGACACCAGAGGACACACACAGGGGAGAAGCCCTATGTTTGTGGGGAGTGTGGGCGAAGCTTCTGTCAGAAGTCAACCCTCATCAGACACCAGAGGACACACACAGGGGAGAAGCCCTATGTTTGCGGGGAGTGTGGGCGAAGCTTCAGTCAGAAGTCAGATTTCATCAGACACCAGAGGACACACACAGGGGAGAAGCCCTATGGTTGCAGGGAGTGTGGGCGAAGCTTCAGTCAGAAGTCAGATTTCATCAGACACCAGAGGACACACACAGGGGAGAAGCCCTATGTTTGCGGGGAGTGTGGGCGAAGCTTCATTCAGAAGTCAGCACTCACCAGACACCAGAGGATACACACAGGGGAGAAGCCCTATGTTTGCGGGGAGTGTGGGCGAAGCTTCATTCAGAAGTCAGCACTCACCAGACACCAGAGGACACACACAGGGGAGAAGCCTTATGTTTGTGGGGAGTGTGGGCGAAACTTCAATCAGAAGTCCATCCTCATCTCCCACCAGAGGACACACTAGCGGAGAAGCCCTATGTTTGCAGGGAGTGTGAGTGAGTTATGACCAACAAACCACACCTTAGCCACAGGAGGATTACTGGAGCCACCCCATGCCTCAGCTCTAAGGGGGCCTCAGAGGAGGTCTGTGACCCGTTACTGTCCCCAGGAGCATGAGGAGAGACTTCCCAGGTGGTCCAGGGGTCAAGACTCCAATGCGGAGACCCACGTTCAATACCTGATTGGGGGACTAGCTCCCACGTGCTGCAGCTAAGACACAGCACAGCCGAATAAATAAATATGTAATAAATATTTTAAAGAAAGAGTGTGGTAAGCACAGAATTACTTGTTAAATAGACCTTCCACTTTCATGACATGAGAGGAGGTAGATAAACAGCAAAGGGTTTCTTAAGTGTTCTGGAGATGTTCATGTCAATTGCCATCGTGGTTTTTTAGTACTCCTCTTCTAAGAAATTTTGGCTCCAAACAAATCTGAAGCCCAGACTATGTACTCATTCCCCCTTTATTACTGACAGCAGTGGGGTCCAGTGGTAGCTAAACCCCTCAGAAGGCATATTTCCGGAGCCAAATCGGTTAGGTCACTGGACAGTCAGTTCCTGGGTCCAGGGAGAGGAATCTGGGGTTTGAGACAGACTCACCGGGTAAAGGGATTCCCCAGCCTCCTGGGAAGTGTGGCCTCTCCTCCTTATAGACCTCGGCTCTCCTTTGGCCTCTCCTGGGGGCCCTCTGGTTCCCTCTGACTTCTGTAGCCGCAAAGGCGAAGGCCACGTGCACGTGTGTGCGTGTGCGTGTGTGTGTGTGTGTGTGTGTATGTGTGTGTGCCTGGCTCAGCATGGGCCGTCTGGTCTCTGCCGCTCCCTCAGGGTCATCACAGTATCTGGGCTTCAGATTCAACCACAGGGATCCAGTTCTCAGCCCTGACCCCAGCAGGTGTGTGAGCTGGGGCAAGATGCTCAACCTCTCTGTGTCTCTATTCTTGTCTGTGACATGGGGTGGGAGCACCAGCATTTTGGTCTGATGCATAAGCACAGGCAGAATCTGGCAGAGGCTGGCTGAGAAAACAAGCCCCACCTTTGTTGTCCTTTGTGTGTGTGTGTGTGTGTGTGTTTTTACTCTTTTTAAATTTTTTAATAGAAGGATAATTGCTTTACAGAATTTGTTTTCTGCGTGTTTTCTGCAAGCCAAAAATGAATAAATAACCTTTTTTAAAGTAGGAGATCACAGCATTCTCTGCTGATCCAGAGTCTAGGACTCTGAGCTCCCAACACAGGGGGCCACGTTCGATCCCTGGTCAGGGCACTAGATCCCACATGCTGCAACTGAAGGCCCTGAATGCCACAGCTAAGACCCAGCACAGCCAATCAAATGAATACTTAAAAGTAGAAGGCAGTTCATCTGTCACCATAGAAAACTGCAACATTTTAGGAAAAGAAAAAAAAAAGATCATATTTTGCAAGTGCTCATGGTTGATTGCAAAAATTTTCTCATAATATGCAGCTGTTTAAAAAAAAAGAAATTTAGAAAATACAGAAACTAAAACCCATCCATAAATGTGTAGGGAAATCAATTACTGCAGCATCGGGCCACCACACACGGGAACACACGTCCTTGTTTTTCTTCTACAAAGAAGCTTTCAGCCTCCACCCCCCTTCCCACTGGCCTCTGCTCTGCTCACCAAGAAGACTGCGCTTTGGCCTCATGACCGGGGGTTTTCTGCTGAACTCAAGGAGGTGGAGGAGCAAGGCTGTGTGGCTGGGGGCACCATCTGGCCTGCAGTGAGGAGAGAAGCGCGAGTGCTCCGCCTCTGAGTCCAGTAACTCCAGGGGCCTCGGGGAGCCGCCTGGGAAGAAGCCTCTCAAACACCTTCCCTGCAGTCTCCACAGTTAGAGCACATCCCACTTCTCAGGGTTCAGCTGTGGGTTAACAAGTTCTCTCTTGTTGGACAGAAAAGAGTTTACACAGAGAATCTGCCTGGATCTTGGCCTAGTTTGGATCTCTTGTTGGACAGAAAAGTGTTTCCAAGAGAATCTGCCTGGATCTTGGCAGATCTTGGTACAGATGTAACAGGCAGTACGTTCAGGGCTCAGGGAAGTTAGTTCTGAAGCTCTCTGGGTTTGGGGCTACAGCACCTCCTCACCTCCACCGCTTCCACGGTCATGGAGCCTTATCATCCAGAGGAAGGTGTTTGGCAACATCAGCCACAAAGACACATACTGAAGAGGAGAAAGCCCATGGCAGGCGGGGCTGGGTGTTCCTGGGGGAGCAGAGGGGCCTTGGACACTGCATGATGGATCCCAGCCCCACCAGCTTCTCCTCCTTCTCACTGAGCATGCAGCTTTCACCTGCTGGATGCCTGCCAGTGAGGGGCTCCAAAGGCACCAAGCTGTGGTTGGCGATGGGGGAGCTGGTTTACTGCTCCTTGGATCCCTCTTAACTGGTTCTTCTTCTGTGTTGTCTTCACACCAAATCTCACAAGGATGAGGCCGTCCAGGTACCCACAGCATCACTCAGCCAGGTGCCAACAACCCTCCTTATTTATTATGGGCAGGGAGACAGAGTGGCTCGTGTGATGCTCCCCTGGACCAGAGAAGAGATCCCCCAAGGTGTGTCCCTGCCACCTCCTGAGACCCAGGTGGGCATTGGGGGCAGAGCACCTCCACCTGGGGTCTGGAGAGGGTGTCCTGAATGGACAGGTCCTAACTGTCCACTGTGGCTTCAGGGGGTATGGCCAAGAGGGGTACTAACTCCTTTCTAACTATTTCAGACAACCACTGAGTTCCTTTTGGTTGTTGGTTTCAGATCTTTTTATATGGTCCATTTTCAGAGTCTTTATTGAATTTGTTACAATATTGCTTCCATTTTATGTTTTGATTTTTTTACTGCAGGGCATGTGGGATTGTCACCAAGTCCAAGCTCTCTCTGAACGCCACACAACAAGCCGATTAATCAGAGCCGAGGTGCTGAGGCAAGGAATGTGACTTTACTTGGAAAGCCAGCAGATTGAGAAGATAGCAGACTAATATCTTGAAGAAACCATCTTGTCAGGGTCTGGATGCCAGTGTCTTTTATAGAACACAGAGCTGGGAGGTGAGGAAATACAGTAAAAAGGCCATTAATCTGGCAAATATCTCCTGGAATTGCCAGTCTCGGGAGGAGATGTGTTACTTTCTCCCTCCTGTAGCCATCCACAGGTGTACATGTCCTGGACAGAGGCAGAGGGGCAGAGTTTCCTGAGGCAGGCCATTATGTATGGACAGTATCCCTGTAGCAAACAGACCAACAGGAAGCAAAGTTTAGAGTAAAACATTCAACATGGAGTCAGATTTTGTTCTTCCCTGTAACAATTCCCCAGTGTCACCGTCCATTCCACAATCTTATGGGAAAAGGGGTGATGAGTGCTCTAATTGCTCCACTAGTTGCATCTTTTGGGGAGTGCCCACCACTGGTGCCAGTGTTCTGAATGTTGAGATTTGTCTTTGTTGTTCTTTGGAAAGTCTCTACTTCATATGTATAGACATAATAATATTATAATACAGGTGTTGAGAGTTGTTTTATTCAGTACAAATCTTTTAGGACTTCAAAACCAGGGGGCAGCATCTAAAGTTAAGGAACTTAGCACTTTTCTGTGTGTGGGAAGATGCACCAGCCATCTCGCTGAAATCACCCCCTTTGATACACACCTTACCACCTGGGACCAGCATCCTGTCTTCTCCCTCCTGAGTTTCCCCAGGGCTCACAGTGGAGAGTGGCTGCAGTCTGATGGCTGCTGGAAAGCAGGTATTCTTTTCTTTCCTGAGTTTCCTCTGGATTCACCATGAGAAGTGGCTTCAGTTTTCTAGCTTCTAGAGAGTAGGAGGGGGAACCTGGGTCCCCATTGAGATCATCTCAGCAGAGAGAGCAAGCATGTCCTGTGACTCCAGACAACTTTCCAAAGTTCAGGGCTGAGTGTTCAGCCTGCAGGATCCACAGCCATCAGCTCAGCCACCATGCTCTGCACTTAGTTGCTATGTAGCCCTGAAACCTACACTGCAGGAGGCCATCTAAATGTGGCGTCCTGTCCAGCAAACTCTCGGTCTCAACCTCCAAGCCTGACCCAGGCTCAGCAATGCTGAGAGGGTCTCACTGGGGACCCAGGTTCCCCCTCATGCCCTCCCACATTCCATACCTGAGTGGGGAGAAGGCAGGGGCTGGGGGCACAGTGCCTCCAAGCAGGTATGGCAGACGTTCTCCCATCACCCCTTGTGGTCCACCCCTGGGAACACAGTCTACTGTCTCTTTTAGCAGCAGAGGACATGTTTCCCCAGATCCGGCTCACTCTCTAGGGGGTGTGAGCTGTGAGCACTAACACAGGAAAAACCGAGTGACCTGCTTAGGCTGGAAGACTAGTTGCTGGGATGTGAGCTGAAGTCTGAAAGTAGCTTCTCATTGGGATTAGCCTTCTCCAGACATAACTTGGGGGCAGCAAGAGTGCAATAAGTGGCCCCCAGCTGGGGCAGCCACACAGTGCCTCTCAACAGCCCTGTGGAAACTGTGCACCAGAGTGACCAGGAGCCCACACTCACCCAGCAGATGGCTTGTGAGAGGTCTGTGACGGGCCATAGCGATTACGAGCCTGCACTCACATGACGGACAACCTCTGAGAGGTCTGTGACAGACCAGAGTGACCACAAGCATGCATTCACCCAGCAGACAGCCTCTGACAGGTCTGTGATGGGCCATAGTGACAACGAGCCTGCACTCACCCAGAGGATGGCCTCTGATAGGTCTGTGACAGGTCAGAGTGACCACGAGCATGCAATCACCCATTTGATGGCCTCTGAGAGGTCCCTCATGGGCCATAGTGATTACGAGCCTGCACTTACCCAGCAGATGGCATCTGAGAGGTGTATGACAGACGAGAGTGACCATGAGCCTGCACTCACCCAGTGGATGGCTTTTGAGAGGTCTGTGACAGGCCATAGTGACTATGAGCATGGACTCACCCAGCGAACAGCCTCTGAGAGG